CCCAAAGGGTGGGCTGATGCTAACTGCGATTCAGGCAGGACTTCCTTGGCAAGAGGTAGAAGATGGTTCAGGAGCATGCAGACAGGGCTCTTCCCTGCTGTGGACAGGAGGGCAATATTTTGAAAGCTCCCACACACATACTTAACTTACCTCCTTTCTTGAAGACAGTCATGCTGTTGGTATTGCTTAGGTCCCAGGGACCTCTTCATTATTCTGAATTCATAGAATAAATTCACAGAGTCTCAGCACCAGTTGCTCACCACTAGCCTTGCAGATCTCAGCACGTATGCCATCTGGTCCTGTAGCCTTGCTGCTTTTGGCTTCCTTGATGGCACACCAGACTTTTTCTAGGATAGGAGGGTTGGTGAGGGATCCCTTTTCAGGGTGTGGGGGGGATGGACTCAGTGGTGGTATCTGCCACAGTTGACTCATAGTTCAGGAGTGCCTCAAAGTGGTCTTTCCACCTAGCTTGGATAGATCCATTGTCTCTGAGGAGGAAATGCAGGAAAGTAGGGCCATGGGACGTTAGGCAGTAAATGGTTTCCGTTGCCTGGAAAAAGTTACATGTCATGTTTGTCAGCATAGAGCTGGATCCCTTGGTCTTTGTCTTGCCACCACTGATTGTGGCAGATGAACTTCACTGTTGACAAGTGCAAAATAATTCACAGGGGGGAAAATAACCTCAGCTCTAGATATACAGCTCTGGACTGTGATCTAGCTGCTGTGAATCAGAAAAGATACCAGGGAGTCACTGTAGACAGTTCTCTAAAAACATTAGGTCCATGAGCAGTGGCAACCAAAACAGCCAAGAAAATAGGCATCAATAAAAAGGAATTGAAAACAAAACAGAAAACATAATTGTGCTACTGGATAAATCCATGGCGCACCCATATCTTGAATAGGGCATGCAGTTCATAGAAATCGTAGAGGAGTGTTGGGGTAACCAAACACCAAGTGAATCGGGCCCAAGGTCTCGGTGGGCTGGGGTGGCAATTGGAATATGAACAGGTGGGATTAGCGGCCGTGGAGTGCGAGCTGTACGGGAAGTTTAAACAAAGATGATTTATTTACTCACGCTTGGGAAGCGGAGGATCAGATATTTCTTCAGTTACAGTATAACGAACAACAAAGGGGTCTGTTGGCCTACGGGGTTCACTAGCGAGCCCTTGCTTTCTACCCCCTGAGGGATAGGTGCGGCTGCCCACTAGCTAGTCCCAGGGCTGGTCAACAGCTCATGAACGGGATTAACAAACAACAAAAACTGTAACGTAGTGAACCGAGGAACGGGGTTGTGACGCCAGTCCAAAAGACAGTCCGTAAGCCGAGGTCGGAGATGAGAAGCCAGAACAAAGTAAGCCGAAGTCAAAATCGAAGCCAAACAGTCCCGTAACCGAGATCGAAAAGATGAGTTGCTCCACCCGCCGTCCGCAGCCTCTGCTCACAGGATCAAGCACAGTCTCTCCTCCAAAACACACACACCACCTCACCACCCCGGGGTGGCGGCTCACAAACCTTTTATGAGAATTTAGTGGCCAATCAGAGCGCTCTTCACAGAGAAGTTTCTAGTCAAATTACATCATGCAGTCAGTGAACTGAGCATGCGTTTACCTCATGCTCTGTGATTGACAAGCCTCCAGGTCACCCAGAGGGCACATACTAGGGGCCTGTCTGTAGTTTCAGCTCCCTGTAATGGCAGCACCAAACTTAAGATTTTTCTTTGACAAGGAGAAGGGCTGGAAAGGACTTCCACAAGTCATCTCCAACCCTCTGCCTGATGCAGTATCTTCCCTATGCAAATCATCCCATACAAATCCACTGGCTAACCTCTTAGCAAAACTACTGTACAGGCAACCCCGATACAACACAAGACATAACACCCAAACTTGTCACAGGTAAAGTAGGTCTTCATTTGTCATCTCCACCGCTCAAAAAGGATGTAGTGAAACTAGAAAGGTACAGAATGGGCAAAGATGATCAGAGGTAGGGAGCAGCTGTCCTACCAGAAGTTACTGAGAAGGCTAGGACTCCTGTTTGGAAAGGAGAGGGGCTGATGGGGGATATGATAGAGGCACCTAAGCCGGCTTGCTCCATGACCTTGCTCTGCTGGTCATTTTAGCCTTGATTCAGACTTTGACCCTCTAGTTTCAACCTGGCTATGCCTTGGGACCGTTGGTTATTGGTGCACGTTAACCACTAGGCAGACTGCTTACACCTCAGCGCGTGACATAAGCAAAATTAGAGATTTCACCATGCCGCCCCATTTCAAATCACTGATAAAAATGTTGATCATATTTGTCCATGTGACTGCAGACTTTATTCTTTATTATATTACTTATTCACAGCATTTCCTTCATCCACCCACAGAGTTACTTTATCAAAGAAGAAGATCAAGTTCATCTGATACCATTTATTTTTAGTCAATCCAAGCTGGCTGCTTGTGATCAGCCTTTCCTCCTCCAGATGCTTGCAAATAGACTTCTCTCGGCTATGCTTCAGTACCTTCCTGGGTACTGAGGCGAGGCTAACTGATTTATACTGTCCTGGGTCCTCCTTTTTGTCTTTTTTAAAGAGGGACACTACGCTGGCCCTTTCCCAGTCCTTTGGTACCTGGCCCATCTCCCACAACTTCATGAAGGTCATTGCCACGGGCTCCAAGATCTGCTCTGCCAGTTCCCTGGGGTGATGTTCATCAGGCCCTGGCTACTTGAATACATTCAGACCCAGCAAAAGCTCGCTGACCAGCTCTTTTGTTATTTCCTCCCTCAGCTTGCCCCATTCCTTATTCAGATAATGCTTATTAGGTGTCTGGTTGCAACTTCATTTTTTTGCAAAGACTGAGGCAAAGTACCTGTTGAGTGGCTCTGCCTTCTTTGCATCTTCTGTTGAGAGTCGCCCCTGGTTATTTAACAGTGGACTCACAGCTTCCTTGATCTTTCTTATCTGGCCAACCTACTTATAGACCCTCTTCTTGTCCTTACCCTCCTTTACCGGGTGCAGCTTGTTCTTTATCTTTGCCATCCTGATTTTGTCCCTGCCGGTTCTTGCTATTCCCTGGTACATGCCCTTGGTGACCTGCCCATTCTTCCATTGCCTGTATGCTTTCTTTTTGCATTTCTGGCATGCTAGAAGCTCCTTGTGCAGCCACATCCTTCTTGGTGCAGTGGTCCTAAAATCCCCATCCCTAGGGCCCTGTACTCCCTGCTGTCTAGGCTGCCGAGTCCTCTGCATCACGTCTGCAGATGTCCTCTCCTCTGCCTCCTTCTCAGCTGTGCCGGTGCAGAGGGCTTGAAAGCAGCTGCTGACTTTGTTCTGCTCCTCTTGAATGCTGGAGACCCTCTTTCTTTGAGTAGTCACATGCCGCCGCTTCTCCTCATTTCCCTTTGGCCTCTCCATTACCAGCTTCTCATAACGGCTGTCCAAATTATCTTCCTTCTCCTTGATATAAATGCAGCATGGGTACCCGTGCTTCCAACCTTCGAAGCTTTTCCTCCGGGGCAGACACCAGCTTACACTTGGTGCAGGCGAAGTGGCCTTGACCCTCTGGGAGGCACGTGAATGTGGCACATTTCACACAGGTCACATCTGCTGACCCAGCCTCCACATATGCCTCCTTTGGAGGACATCTTGGCTGTAAGAAAAAACCCACACACCAAAGCCCCACACCTGTGCCCCATGCCCACACTTTCCTGCTTGCTGGCTCCCTCCTAGAGTGAACTCCTTAGGCAAACTCCCTCTGTTTGGTGCTCACCCTGTTCACAAGAGGCTGCTTCTTTTAAATAGGGACCTACTTAATTAGGGTTCCCATATTTCCAGTATCAAAAAAAAGTACACCTGTGAAGGGGAGGGAGGATGGAGAAGAGAGAGAGGTATATGGTGGGGGGGGCAGTGATATGCCCATGCCCTGCCTCTGCCCCTCACTCCTAAACCCCTGCCCCCCAGCCCTGCTGGTGCCCCTCACTCCCAACCTGCAGCCCCTGCCCCTCCAGCCCTGCTGCCCACACAGCTCACGTGCACGCGCGCACACACACACACACACACGCACACACACGCACACACACGCTCTGTGTCTCTTACCTGGGAGCTTGCCGGGGCCCACGCACAGAGCATGTGACTCCCAACAGCCAATCACCTTGCCTGCTGCTCTCAGCCTGAAGCAGTCCCAAGCTGCTAGTCCCCATGAAAGCAGAGGAAGAGCAAAAACCTAGACATCTGCTTGCATTTTAAAATCCCATCCAGACAGAAGGACAGGGGGCCAAAACAGAGGACATGCCCTGGAAAACCCAGACGTATGGTAACCCTAAACTTAATTCACAATTTCACAGATCTTGCAGAAACCACAAAATCAGGCGTTGCTCACGAAATCCGCAAAATCAAAAAGCCCCAACTTACTAAAAATAAAATGCTGGCTCCCCAGTGGGTGGTCTGCTTGGGGGTGGGAGGGGATGCCATCAGTGTGATGGGAAGCAACCATGATGGCAGCCTCCCCCTCTTCCACCAGCCCTCACTGCTAATTGGCTCTGCTCCTCTCCGCCAGTCAGTGGTGAGGGATGGGAGCACATGGGGGACAGCCCTCTCAGCCAATCAGTGGTGAGGGGTGGGGCCACCAGAGCCAGTCAGTGCAGAGGGGCGAGCTCACCATGAAAAGGCTGCAAAATTGGCTCCACTCACCACGAGTTGGGTAGATCCCTATTACAAGCCTGCCTGGCCTAGCTCCACCCCTCAATTAGCTAAGCCAACCTCCTGCAGAGCAAGCCCCATCAATCAGTCGCTCCAGAGGGGAGGGAAAAATAACCCCTACAAAACCCCGAAGTACCAAGTATTAAGTAGTTTAATCCTCAGGCTCCAATCAGACCCCCAGTTACCAGCCCCCAGAAAAGCCTCCTCAAAGCAGTCCTACTGCCGAGACGCTTCTCGCAGCAGCTCCCTCCTTGCTTAGTCCCATCGGTGGTATTGCATGGGACGTCCATCTAAAACCTCAGACGAGACGAGTGCCGGCTGTTTAATTATGAACCCTTAAAAAGCGGGACTGCTGGAAGGCCTTGGAGGAGGTGGGGCAAGACTTGAAGTAGCAGCCACTGGGAGATGGGACGTCTGGGGGCAGGAGGGGCAGGACCGCAAGGCCATAAGGGAGGGCCTGGCAGCATCAAAGGGGCAGGAGGACATTTCACTGGGCCCTGTCCCCCATATCCTGAGGGGGCTTCCCCAAAAGATGTTCTGTCTCCTCTAACGCAGCTCGAGTCTGGCCAAATACCAGACTCCCTGCAGTTGCTTGCGCGTCTCTGCCAACAGCCTTTGTAACGTCCGGCGGATGGGTTTTGCGATCCTCCGAAGGCTCCAACACAAAATACATGTCTGCATCCCAAAGCCTAAGGAAGAAGCGCGTTAACTTTAGCTCATCGGGGAAGACATGTCCGTTTAGTTTCAGCCCAAGCCCCTCCACCGCGCTCCCGGGGAATGGCCGCCCCTCTGGCGGAGCTGAATGTGGCTCGGAGTTGCGGAGGAGTCGGAGATTGAATGGACCGAATGATCCCCAGCACTTCGTGACGCTGTATTAAGACACCCCATCATGCATTATGACGAGACGCGGGTCTTGCGGTGAGAGACATGTCTCTGCTTGAGATGGGGGGAGGCACATTCAAATCCTTCAACTTCTGTCATTGGATTTGGGATACGGATCTAGGTCATCTCCTCCTACAAGAGCTTGGGGCGGAACGATATATACTGAGACAGGTCTGTCTGGTGTAAACTGAAAACAACTATTTAAATGTCCTTCTGGGCAAGGTTGAGAGACCACTGGTCTATCAAATAATGATAGACCTCACCCTCTCTAGGTGCTGATCTGCTAGGTGCCTCTGCAAGAGGCATGGCCATTTCCAGCCCTAAAAAATTTAGAAAATTAATATTTATCTGCCCTGGGCTGCCTGTTATGTGGCCCTTGATGCCTTGCCAAAACTCAGTGAGCGGCCCTCCACCCAAAATAATTCCCCGCCCCTGCATTAGACTGAGCTGCATGCTTACGGCATATTCTTGGGTATCTGTGCAAAGAAACTGCTTCTCTGCTGCACGAGCTGGGCCAGAAGGACGATCTTCTGGTTTTGCCTATATTGTGCAAGCTTCAGGCGCTCCATTGCTTGGTCCTGCTGTCTTTTCTCTGCAAGCTTTTCATCGGAGATGTAGCTGTGGGCATATGTTACATTTTTAGCGTCGCAAAAAGTGATGGGGAGAAATAATGCCCATCTAATTCATTGCAACCCTTCCCACTATCGTCAATGGGAACGGCTGGCCCTTTGACAGAGCTGAACGTGGTTCTGGGTTGGGAGGCTGGAAATGTGAGGGACTGAATGACTCTCAGCACATTAGGATATGGTGCAGAGCCCGTGCATAGGATACCGCAGTAGGGTCACTTATGCAGCTGTGCAGAGAGGGACTGAGCAAGGCAAGCCCTGCGCCCCTGGGGTGCAGCATCCTTCTTTGGCAACTGAGGTTTTTGACCTTGGAGCATGAGCTGTTGCCTCCAAGTTACAGGCCTACGGGCCAAATCCTTGAAGGTGCCAAAAAAGAGTTGAGAGGCACCTAGTGGGGTTTTTCAAGGGCAACTGTGTGATGATTTCCACTGGAGACAGAAGGAAATTGCAACTTCGTGCACAGCTCAGCTTGGACTCGGGCACTTGGGTGGCCATTTGAGGCTTGGCTCCAACCCCCTTTCTAGCCTGAAATAGGACTGACATCAGGTACAAAGGAGGGGTGCTCCTCTTCCCCAGGGGCAAAGGCTTAAATAGGTCTGCTGGGGGGGAAAAGGGAGCTTGCAGGGAAAGAGGCAGAAGGGAGATGACTTCGGTGTTGGGGGATCTTTACCGTTCAAGCAGTTTCTTCTCAAAAGTCCTCTGCTTCTTAAACTTTGCGCTGTTTTCCCAGCTGTCCACTGGATCTAAAATCTGCCGAGCTCTTTCAATCCTCCTGCAGAACCATTGGAAAAGTCGCTCTCTGGCTTTTTGGCTGAATCTCCCACCAACCCCGACCCCCTTTTCAACACAGGCAGCATAGGAAGGCCTGTAGCACAGGACCCCCCTGTCTGGGCAGCAAGAAGGCTGCTGGGGCTGACGTTTCCCTGAGTAAAAACCTTGCCCAGAGATGGGGAGGTCACTTCATGCTTGCAAGACATCAGAGGCGCACGGTACCTCCCTCCACACCCAAGTTCCTTAAAGTGGTTAAAGTCTGAAACGAGGGGCCGAGGGCAGGTTCAAATCCTTAATTTTTTGTCACGTTTCGATCAAAGATAGGACTCCAGAATCCGCCCTTGCACAAGAGCACTCTCATCCTGCACCACGCACAGAAACAGGTCTGTCTTGAGGAAACATTGCATAAACTATTTAAATATTCCTCCAGGCAAGGCCCGCAAGCTGGGACTACTGGTCTATTGAGTAATTTGTGCCCACTGTCTAGGTGCTGAACTGCTTAGCACCGTCAAGCCTGGAAATGTCTGTGCGTCTTGGGTCGGGTGGCGCCTGTGGGACGGATTTAGTGTCCATTCAGTGCCTTGTCCCCTTTCTGGATACAGCCCTGAGCCTTCCTCACTTAGAGCCCGATGCAGCAAAGCCCTTCAATCTATCCATGCCTGTTGGCTTGGACGGCACCTGCGAGACGGTTTTGAAATGACATTTTGGCCACCTCAAGTAGCCATTCAGTGCTTCCTTCTCGTTCTGGATACAAGCCTTCCTCACTCAGACCCTGATCCAGCAAATCACTTCAATGGATTAAATCGAATCTGTGAAAAGTCCCAACTGACAACAACAGACCGACCAACGTGGCTCATGTTAGGCACCTGCCTATGCGGAGGGCTGGACTGACATAGTAATAAAGGAGAAAACTCGTGACGGCTCTGGGAGGGAGCTTGGTTCTGGTTTTCCCAGGGAAAGGCATATTAACGTGAGCCCCACGCTTACTTCTTGATTTCCAGCAATGGGAACTTTTCTCTCTGCTGCTCATCCTGGCTCCTGATGATCTCCACCTGCTTTCCCTCCTCTGCAGCAAGCGGAGAAAACTCGACATACTCCTCGTACTGCAGTTTTTCCTCTGCCAGATCCTGGCTGTAGATGGCACTTCTCTTATAGGCAAGGCTCGATGTGTCCATCTCAGAGATTGGCAGCTGCTCGGGTTCACTCTTTATCTGCATCGGGATTGTGTGAGGATGTTACTTTGGAACGAACACAACTCCCAGCTCTGAAAACTCAGAAAGAGGAAAGCTGGTGGTGGGGAAAAAGACACCTAGGTGGTCATCACTGGTTGTATCACAACTGAGTTTTTCTAGTGAGTGACCTTGACACAGGGTCGATTTCCCAGGGCTTTCTGAAGGGCAAAGTGTCATTTAGCTATGGATTAGAGAGGAAAGCACTTAAACGGGTGTTGTTTGTCTTTTCTGTTGGGGTGGCCCTTCCCAGGGGTGGTTTGCTGGCACATTTGACTGTCCCCATTAGTATAATCTGTGTAATGGAACAGCTCCAGCGTGGCGCGTGTGCACACGCACATATGCACACACACATTTATGAAAGCGTCGGTCTTTTACCTGGTCATCCAAGGCTGCCTTACCCCTCTCCTTTCCTTCTTTTTTGTCCCTTAGACTTCTTGTACTGGGGGCAACAACCCTAGAAAGAACCACACAAACATGCTTTGGCTATGGGCACACGTTACATTTATGGCAGCTCCAAAAGTGACCGCCCAGATGTTCGTGCTGTTTGTAGCACCACAAAACTGGCACGTCTGCCACATACGTGTGCCCTTTTCAAAGAGGAACTTCCCAGCAGTGCTGCATTTTGTAGTGCCACATGTACTATGTAGACAGGGACATGTAGCGCTGCAGGGGGTCTCTCAGACCCCCCAGCATCCCACAGTCCTCCACTTTCTTTTCCCTCTCCAAGGGGGAGGGGGAAGGAGAGCACCTGGCTCCCTGACTGCCCACCCAGGCACAGTGAGCTGTCAGGGATAGTGCCACCAGTGGAAGCAACAGCAAGGCCAGTGCTCCCATGATGTTGACAGCAGTGGAGACAGCTGCCCCTGCCACCAACACTGAAATACCAATCAATGGATTTATTAGATTACAGTATATCCCGTCCTGTCCTAAAGGCTCAGAGCATCTAACAACAGCCAGACAAAACCTACACGTAGGAGTCCCCAAATAACACTCCACCATGTGAGACCTCCCTGTCTATAGTTACATCAGTCCACAACCTCTCACAAAAATGGCTCAGCTCCCCCTAAAATTGATCAAATGGTTTGATTAATAAGGCTGACTTGCACAAAAGAAAAACAAGCTCTAATGAGACTCTCCGCTTCACTCTGGCTGGCATCAAAGGGCACTGGCCATGTTAGTTGCCACTTGGTGCATCTACACGTGCACTTGCCTTGAGGCAAAAACTCTGGTGCAATTTGCGCCAGAGTCAGCTGCTCCCGGGCACAGTGTTTACACGTGCACCCAGGATCACAGCAATTTGAGCTGGCACAGAGCAGCCCCTGGGCTGACAAGAGGCCCTGGGGGTCAGGCCCAGGGTCCAGGTGGCAGAGGGGTGGCTGGGGCATGAGGGTGCTACAGTGCAGGGCTAGCTGTCAGGCAGCCCTGGCATTGCAGCCCCCTTGTACCCCAACCAGCCCCGGTCATCGTCTACACACGCATTGCTGCAGCATAAATTACTCCACTGTAGGATAGTACTTGTCCTGGACAGTACTATTCTACAGCGGAGTTAGTTAATTTACTGCACCCTAGCATGGGTGCACGTGTAGACTGTGATGCTTTACTGCGGAGCTAGTTAGTCAGCTCCTCGGTAAAGCAAATGTGTAGATGCACTCATCGAGTGATTTTGTTACTGGATTTTTACATAAATCCTTTTACTTGCATAGCCTGGAGGATGATCTGTGATCGGCTTTTGAAAGACACGTCCTTACTGTGCTCCAGATGAAGTAGCCACATTAGCTTGAGGTCAGGCAGAAGGCAGGGCAGGGAGAGACTCGCTGGGGCAGAGAGGAATGAATGTTCGTGGACTCAGAGAGAAGTGGGGCTGGAAGGGACCTCCAGAGGTCACATCTCACCCAGCCTCCTGCCTGAGGCAGGATCAGCCCTATGCAAACCATCCCATACAAATCCATCGCCTACCCTCTTCGCAAAACTACAGTCACCCCGACACAACACAAGACACAACACCTAAACCTGCCACAGGTGAAGCAGGAGAACAACTGAGTTTGTCAGACCATGAAGCAGGTGGCTGCCTATGAAAGCTCATGCCTCTCTGAACCAGATGCTGCATTTGTCCTGGGGCCAGTTGTTCTTTGCAGCAACTTGAGCCCATTGCTCCTTGTACTGTCACCTACCCCCACTGAGAACAGCCCAGCTCCATCCTCTTTGCACCCCCCTGCAGGGAGCTGAAGGCTGCTATTCAATCCCCCCTTGGTCTTCTCTTCTCCAAACTAAATGAGCCCAGTTCCCTCAGCCTCTCCTCACAAATCATGTCCCCCAGTCCCCAACCATTTTCACTGCCTTCCGCTGGACTCTCTCCAATGTGTCCACAAACTTCTACATCTTCTATTTAATCCTTATTGCCAGTGCCTAACGTGCCCTACAGATGATGGCTTTTGTGGTTAAGGGGCGTCTGACCAGCAGCTCTGATCCAAGCCTGGAGATCCATACGGGAAATTTCCATCCCCCAGGAAGTGCTGGTAGGAGACCCACTTTCATAAGGCACTTTCCAGGCCATTTACAGATCTTTTATGGCAAACAACAAAACAGCCCTCACACAATTGTGTTATTTTTTCTCCTTTTAAAGGAGTGTCCCCCACCATCAGCATCATTGGTGATTGCATAGGGGGTGCACGCGGGTGCACGCGCAACCCCTGAGATCAGCCGTGTGCCCCCTGGAAGCGCCAGCCGCAAAACCGAAAGTGCACTCCAGTTTTGCTGCTGGCTCGGTGATCGGCCACTAGGGGACCCCCTTGGTCAGCAATCTAGTTCCCCCCCAGACTCGGGAGGCACCAGTCCCCCATGATCAGCATGACCTGAATGCAGAACTGACCAGCAAGCAGAATCTTCTAAGCAGGGCGAGGCATCCCCCGCCATATATTGAATTATATTAGCAATGTCCAGCCATGTGGCAGATCCAACTGGCTGAACGACCCTTAGCACTTTATGATGCAGTATTAAGACACCTCACATTATGAGACACAGGCCTTATGGTACTGGAGTCCACAACACAAAGTGTTTAAGATGTTCTTTCAATTAGGCTCCATATACTATTCTTTTTCCTTCAGAAATCTTTTTAAAATAGGCGTCATCCTGTGTTTTGAGCTGCACCTCTGTGGAAGAGCTAAGAGGGCAACGGGAAGAAGAGGAAAAAAGAATACGTGTCTTGGGCCTTGCTCTCTTCGGGCCCTTGTACACTGTGTGGGTTGTTTAGATACGCGTTACCAAATGGCACCAAAAATCGCCGTTTCGCTAGGTTAGTCACGTGTGAAAATACACGACCTTTATTGTGGCAAGTTAGCCCACCTCCAACATGTTTTAGTTTTACCATGGCCAACTGTTTCACCAGGCTGAGTTGTATCGTGAAACGTTCATTACAGGTTTTCTCGCCCACAGCTAAAATTGCTATTTTCCCCAGTTCTGCCCTCTAGTGCTTTTTACTAGTAACAGCATATTAACCATTGATGAGCGTTAAACGCGTTAGGTGGAAAATAGGAATGGGACTCCTCGTGGTACGTTGAGAGAGTGAAATAAACCCAGAGAATATCTTTAGCTAGAAAAAGCCAACGTCACGTGCAGGCACCCATAGGCCTAGATACAGCGCAGCACATCAACGCAGGCTTAGGTTTAAGCATGTGAGAAGTCCCCACTGACATCTGCAGGCTGACTGACATGACTCATGTGATGCATGTGCCTATGTGAAAGCCTGGACGGATGTAGTGAAAAAAGAGAAAACCCGTGACTGCTCTGGGAGGGAGTTCAGTCCTGGCCTTCACAGAAAGGAGAACGATCGAGTGAGCGGCACACTTACTTCCGCCTGGCTTCCCACCGTAAGACCTTTTCTTTATGCTCTTGAACCTGGCACAAGGCGATGGCCTTCTGCTTTCTCATATTGACAGCCAACTTCAGGCGTGCAGAAAACTCCTGGTCCCAGCGTCTTCTCTCTACCAGCTTCTTGTTGGCAATGGCGTTCTTCCTCAGGATGAGGTTCAGTTGGCCAAATTGAGGGCCTGGCAACCACTCAAGTTCCCTCCTTACCTGTATTGGGTTTATATGGAGATGTTAGTATGGAAATAACCTAACTCCTGGCTCTGGAAACTCAGAATGATCAAAGCTGGTGGTAGAAAAAAACACCGAGGTGGTCATTATTGTTTGCATCACAACAGCGTTTTTTTGGCGAGTTGCCTTGTCGCAGGGTAGATTTCCCACAGCTTGCTGAAGGATATTTTGGTTTATAAGATGGTATCACTCAGGCCCCTTCCAGACATATAGGTAAAGGTGCAATGGGATCTGATGCATGAGCCACACAATCATGCTTTCTGCTACGGCCGTGATCCCATCACACCATATTGCCGGTGCAGGAGGGAACCCAAGATCACAATCTCAGGCTCCCCTTGCACCGGCAAGTAGCCAGCTCCCATGTTTGAGAGCCCCCTTAGCTGCCGGGGCTTCCGGACACAGGGGCACACCTGGCCACGCATTGTGTGATAAGAACCAGCCACAAAGTTAGTACACATTTTTTGTGGAGCACCTTTGTGGCCTATTCCTTGTTTTATGATGCCATTCATTGCTTTAACGTGTAGCTTGGTTACAATTTAAGAAATGATTAACTGGTTAATCATGCCTTACGTGTAATGTGTGACAGAGGTGTTAGCCATGCAATAGGAAAGCATTGAAACAGGTTTTGTTTTTCTTTTCTGTTGGGGTGGGTTTTGCTAGAGGGTTGATGAATTTTTGGCATGTTGGTCTCATTCCAGGTGGTATAGCTCTAAGTGTAGAATACCCCCCCGCCTCCCCCCATATTTATTAAAGGGTCAGATTTTTACCTGGTTGTCCAAGGCTGTCTTATAACTCTCCTGGTCTTCTTTTATTTTTCTTAGATATTTCACATTTTGGGCAGCAACTCTGCAAAGAAGCACGCAAACATGCATTGGCTGTGGGCACATGTTGCATTTGTAGCATCACAAAAGATGACCACATACCTGAGGGTGCCACAGGACAGGACCAAGTCTACTACCATTGGCACTTCCCAGGAGAGCTGGAGACAGATGTGTAGAGCATGACCCTTTATCACCACTTTTCCCAGAAGAGATGGAAACCAAGGCAACAGGGCGGGAGCCAGACTTACTCTTCTGCCAGCCGTACTTGATCCAAGTGAGCGATGAACACTTTCTTGAGTCTTAAAGACATTTCTTTCTCTCTCTTCTCTGTTATTTGCTGCCATCGATCTTTTTCTGTAAGCCAGGGAAGAGGACTTGGTATCCTTAGTCTAGCAATGCCAGATCGCTGGGAGAAAAGAAACATTTTTCAGTTAAAAGAGACAGAAGACGATTCTGTGAAGATAAGGGGTCGGTTCCCTAAATACACACCTTGCAAAATGACCTGACAGGGAGGCTTGTGGGCAGTATCCTGAGAGAGGGAAATCACCCCAGTACTGCCCACGCTGTTGTGGCTGCATTTTCACAAACTCTTCCCCATAGTACGTCCACCACACTGTTAAGAGCTACTGTGGTGTTACCTACTGCTGAGCCAGATCGTGTTTTCTTACACGGGATGAAAGTATATTTCCTTCCACGGCAGGATTGAATGAAATGGTGCTGATAATGCCAAGGTGTTGGGTTTGATCCCCACACTGACCACCCTGGGCAGGGGGCTGGACCTGCCCAGGTCCCTTCCAGCCTTTAGCAACAGCTATGAAACTATGAAAATCCCTGTAGCCTATCTTGCACAGGTCATAAGGAGTCAGCATGGTATCTGCTGGCCTTGACGTCTGAGCCGCACTGCTCAAAACAGCAATATCCATCCTTGGAAAATTCAGACATTGAAAATATTGGCATCATAATCTTTCTGCATTTCAGCCACACACCATTTCTGATGCTTTTTAAACATGTTATGGATGCTATAAGTGCTTGTAGAAAACAAATATACAGCTGAAAAGGGAATGAGGAGATTTCCCCCTTTTTTAAAAACAAAAAATGTTCTTACATGCCGTTTTCTGGGCTTTTCATTTTCCTTCCTTTTTTGATGGGCAGCTGTCACACTACAGGAAGAAAGGGTTTTCCTGTGCTTTCTGTCCTGTATGATTTCCATCTATTGGGGGAGGAAAAGAAAATATAATGAATTTGAAAGAGAGGTTTGAACAGGAAAAAAATGTCACTGAACACTCGCCCCATCCCTGCTGCTGGTTTTCACTATGCTCAGAAACTTGATGAAGGAGGTCTTGCATTTGAAAGCTTATCTGGTTCAATAAAAGGTAGCACCCTAAGAAATCCTCACCTCTTGCATAATTTCTGGACCATCACAACTACAATATCACTCTTACACTACTGAGCCCTGCAAAAACCATCCAGTGATGATGGGTTTCTGCTCAGGATGTTCAATTTAAATACTTCCTTGTACAATGAAATAGATATTTGGCACGGGTAAGGCCAGGATTAGGGGCCACTGAAGTTAAAACTAAATACTGAATGGGCTTTATATTGGGCCTGCCATGCTGACGGGTTTATAATTGCTCTACAACATTAAATTATTAGACATATGTAAACACACAAAATTTAGGCCAGCTGACATCGTCCTTGCTAGTATGTATAGTCAATAACCAGAGACCCATTAGCTTTAGACTTGACTTTTCCTTCCATACGTGTAAAACTGATTTCTACAGGGTGGACCACTGTCTTCCTCTTGTGGACCAAAGAAACAAGGCACAAAGAGAGGAAGAGACTTGCCAGGGTCATACAGCATGCAGTGGCAGACCCCTGTTCTCCTGCCCCCCAAGTCCCAGAGTCCTACTTGCTGGGCTGAGAGTCTCCCTGGAAAACTAGGGGTGGCCATCAGCCAGGGGGCTGTGTTCAGTGTAAAGTCAGTGTTGCGCTGAGGACCTTGTCCAAGGCGTTATCTACTGCTTGAGCCCTTGCCAGAAGGCTGAGATGGACACAAGGGCATGTGCCTGTTGCCCTTGCAGGGGTGAACATCACCCAGAGGGCAAAGGCTGCAGAAGGAAAGCGCTCCCACGTGCAGAGACATTTGTGGCAGGTCTTTGAACGCCACATGCGGTGGTTTGTGAGGCCTGCAGTTCCTTGAAGGCAAGGAGAAAAGCCAACTGATTCAAGGGGGCTCTTCCCATTGTCTTCACCTGGCTTTTGACCAGGGCCCCAAAGCAGGACGTCTCTCTGCAGGATCTCTCCCTCCAAATAAACAAGCAGGACATGCAACAACCTTCCTGCTTCCTCCTCGGAAACATTCAAAACCCAGGTCTCTCTACAGAGAGAAACCATTTCCCTTAAGGCTTCCAGGTACAGGCAGTACCTGGTCCCGAAGCACGGCCTCTAAGAGATTCATATCTTGAAATTTCTGAACAACGATGTCCCTGTCCTCCTCCTCTGTGCTCCCCTTCTCTGAAAACCTCTTCCTCAGATACTTCCAGCACAGGGAGCATGGTTCCTGCAGGCCAACAGATGCATTTAAAGGTGGTGTGTTATTTTTCTGTCTTAATTTCTCCCCCTCAAGCCTCTCTCCAAGTAAAAGGCACGTGCATGAGCCTTCAAGAAAATCTAGCCCCTTCCTGTCAATGGAGAAAGAAACAGAGCAGGGGAGGGTTGTTCTGTGCTTGTTGAAAGCAACTGGAGGCACCGTGGCTAAAGGGGATTGTGCAAGGGCACTGGGCGCACGCCCTTGTGTCCGTCTCAGCCCCCCAAGTACGGGCTTGAGCCTTACTGGGTTTTATCATTGTGCTCCTTAGGCCTCATCTGGGGCGTATCTGCAGCACCCTCAGACTGCCACAAAGAAAAACCTCACTGC